GGCATATCTTAACTTCCCACTTGAGACAGTTGCTAAGGCCATGGGTATTGGCTACACGAAAACTGACTTCAACGCTTGTTTGTCAGCGAAGTATCAAGGCAAAGACTCTGCCAGCACATATTCCGGCTTCAATAAAAATTTCAGAAATCACCGAAAAAGAGAGTCTAGAGATTGGGAGGAAAATGGTGATCAGGTTGTGATGGTTGAACAGCCTAGACTAAAGAGAATGGCTAGCGTGGAGGAGGTGCTTGAGGATGGATACGATGTGCTTGAGTTTCAGGATTTGGGGAGCGATTATTTGGAGAGTTTGCTGTCTTCTTTTTGACAGAATTCGGAAACATCTAGGTTGCCAAAAGAAAGGGTCTAAGGGACACAATATTTCAAAGATTACTACTGTACATTGAGATCGGTTGATCATTACGCATAATACTAGTTGGACTGTGTAATATTATCTGTTTGCAGGAATGCATGTATTACCATTAGTCTAGGTTTTCATTGCTGAAAACATTCATCATGATCTATTTGCTTATACAGTAATAGAATTATCACAAATTGTGATAACAGAGTGAATTTCATACCACATCTTCGAGAATCGTATGTAAGTGCTACATTCAAATATTTATCCACAAGTCGCATAGATTGAGAGGTTAAGAAATGTGAAAAGCATAGAGTAGGTTTATACTATCAAAGGTGACACAATTTCCTCCTTCCAAGACTCTAAAAGTTGGCCCAGAGGATCCATAGTCCTGCTTGAATGGCGTTTTGGAATACAGCAGCAACGCCTGTTGATTGGATTGTGATCTAAAGTGCCTTAGCATTTCAGACCATTTGATCCTTTGGCAAATCTTTTATGGGTTTGGGAGTATTAGAAAGGATTTTGGGCTAAACACTTAGGAGGGTCAATTTCATAATTGGGCTAACTTTGTCCATTCTGCGCACATTGGCTTGCCTCGTAGCCAGCTCACCGCAAACAGACACACAGTAGTAAACTATGTTTCTGCTACATTGGTTAAGCTAATGAAAATGGGGAGCAAACATCGACTAAGTTCCCCCCTTTCTCCACCAATATCTCAATTAGATCATTGATTGGAACGTTTTTCCGGCAAAAAATGCTATCAACACCTAAGTTATGACCTACAAAAAAAAAATTGAAAGGAAATGATTTGATTTGATTAGGATTTGAAATTGGAATATGATGTTTTGTTGATCTTTAACTTAATAATTGACTTAGGTTAAGAATTTAATTCCGGAATCAAGAAACGTACAAAAGAGATCTTATCTATAGGGCTAAAAGGCTTAAACCCTCATGCACAACGAAGAAAAAAAAACAAGGATCACGGCATGGTTGTTTCCTAGCTTTTCTCCTGTCTCGACCAATTGTAAACAAAATTTGAATTTGCTTCTCTCTCTCAAAACATATCCCACTTGAAAATAAAGTATTAGAAATAAATATTCTTGTGAATTTGACTGTTTAAACATCGGAGTCGGTGGGTACTTATCAAAGAGATAATATTTAATATTTTTTTAATTCGATAAGTCTTTTTGTGTTTTATTTTACCTCAAATGTTGGTCAAATTCGATCCCAACAATCAAGTGACTAATCAATCACAAAATTTATGTACACCAACCATTCTCTTGGATCCTTTGACAAGCAAGCTAGGTAACTGTCACATGGGTTAATAAGGATTTGATTTGATTTGATTTTGCATTGGACCTAATGTTCATTTGGTTTACTTTTCATAAATTTATTTGACTAACCATAATTTTCTTTGGTCAAAAATCAATAGGTGCACTTGTACGAGGAAGCAACACGTGCAATTTACTATTCAACGTAATCAGATGCAATGAATTTAACCAAAAATATATATAGTATCCGAGCTGGTCAATTCCGTCGGGCATGATGCAGACATGTTCCAAAGAGAATTTTTATAGTACTACTACGTGTTTTGGCACCTTGTCTAAACAATCTAATGAAGAACTTTTGCCATTCATTTGTATTGGGAAAAGTTTGGAATTAAAAGTAATACTTAGTGTTGCACTAGGAGGGGATCAAAGAGAAGGAAAAAACCTCATATCTTGAACCGATCTAGTTATTCTCAAGCCTCTTGCCTTACTGACATTCCTTTTATAACACAATAGGAACTGAAATATTGGTTCTCAGAGCGGATTTGTACACTTGTTGCAATGTGCGTTGGACACCGAATAGGGCTCTTATATACAAAAATGCTAATTAAGTACAACATTTGGAAAACAATAAATCGAAAGGAAAATGCAAACTTTCACACATCTAAATCCTAGTGCCTTTTGGGACTTTACATCCCGGTTGAATGGTAGAAATTCTGATGCCTCGAGCCCGTCTTAGAAAGGTTTAAAGAACTTGTCCAAGTTTATGCGACTACCCAGTTGTGCTGCTCTCTGATTCCGAAATTGAAAGTGCTCTGCAGCTGCTTCCTGAATCCGGATTCGTTTTCTCTGACCTTGTTGAACTTAAGTTCGGCCTTAATCTTTGGACCGACGATGCAGCCACAACTTCAGCTGGAAAATTGAGTAAAGCCTTGGCACCGCGCATCCTGAATGCTGCCCTGTCATAAGCCAGAGCAGCTTCTTCTGCTGTTTCGAATGTCCCTAGCCAAACGCGTGCACCATTTCGCGTGGAGTCACGGATCTCAGCAGCGTATTTGCCCCAGGGGCGACGCCTGACACCCCTGTAATGCTTCTTGGCGATGGTCCTGGATGGTTCAAGCATGTTTGTTGCGCTACTTTGGTTTCTTGGGGGAACATGAAACTGATGGAAGTTATTGATCGCCACCGCATGAGCGTTTGCTTCGTTCAAGACTTGGTAGATGAACATGTCTTGAGAATCGTTCTCATTAAATGGCAGCTGATTCTCGCTGTGGGAGACTTGAACCATGGATTCCTTCCAGGTCTTTTCTTCTGGATGGGATGTCATGGCGCTTAATTTTCCAGGGTACAGGATGGTGTTTGATGAGGCCTGAAGTTTGTACAAAGTGGCTCTAGACTTCCATTTAAGGAAGAAGAATCGTGGGTGCATGTGGGGTCTTTCCTTGGACTTTTTTTTATTAGGCAGAAGGAAGGTGAGAGGAAAAAGGGCAAAGACATACGTTTGCTCGACCTCGCTATATTCTACTTCTTCGGTGTTTATAAAGAATGGAATTTGCCCCTTGTTTTTCTAGTTATTACCAGCACACACTCTTTTTTTCCCCAAATATTTTTTTTCTTCAGTTAGGCTTTTTGTACATTTCAAAAAACGATATTTACCTTTTAAAATTTTCAAAACCGAATTTTATAATACAAGGAAAAATCAATAAAAGTCAAAGAAAAAAATTGAAACTGTATATCTATTTAATACTATATACAAATTAAAATCCTAATTAAATTCTAATAGAATTCAAACTCAACACTCTTCTAATCTTCCGTACATGAATTATGAAATACGGTCAGAGAAATTTGGGAAAGGATTTGATATTTGGCTTAGTCATAGATTTAGAGAAGAATAAGATATTTGCTGAGTCGGTTTTTGTACGGCTAGCAACTTTTTGTTGTTTGTCTCAGCTTCAGAAAGGGACGGATCAATGTTTCTATTCGGGGAAATTAGGAACCCCTTCATGTGAATAATTTTTCATCAATCCTTGAGAAAATTGGGAACAGAAATCCGATGTCGGTTTTGATGTCAATATTAGAACTTAGAACACGTCATTTTGTTGACTAGAGTGTGTACGTTTTTGAACTTGGATTGCCAGGAGGATTACGCAACATGGGCAGATGCATATAAGTGAGGGTAATTATTTCCTATGGAAATCGTACAATATTGTCTGATATATAGGTAAAGCATTGCTTTGAAATACTATGGCTAGGGAATTGGCAAATCTGTTTAGGTAAATGGCTGGAGTTTCTAGTAGGTTCATGTTATTGTTGGTGTGGTCATCAGGCACGCAATAAAGGACGTCAAGAGTTTGACTAGTGCCGGCCATGGAATCTCTGAGCTCATCACGGACGTCAGATTACTTCGAGCACGTGGGTCCCCTTTGGACAATGCTGCAACCAATCCCCATCTTGACTTTTCAACGGTCGAGTC